ATAATAATAATAATAATACAGTAAATATGGCTTTTTACGGTTTGATTTAATTGATTAGAAGTATTACATAGATGTTATTTCAAAAATATCCCATTCTGATAAAGAACTTGCTATCAGTTGCCTGGCTTTATCCTGTATATTGGTTTAAGAGAGGAAATGGAGGTTGCTCATAGCCGAGTGTCTTTAGTATATATATATATATATATATATATATGTGTGTGTGTGTGTGATGTATAACAAACTGTGTGACAATTTTTAAAGGATCAGGCCGCCGAGCAGACTGAATTACCTGACACGGAGGCATTCTAAGCCCAGCCTGAAATGTTATAAACTGCTTTTATGAAAACCTCTCACCATGTGGCATTGCTAATAATAACTGTTTCCCTATAAGGAAACATTTGGCATTCATTGACCGAGCAGCCAGTACTGCTTTTGGTTGAAATTTCTAAAATCTTTCTTTTAAAAAATAATTTTGTAGGAAAACAGTTTCCTCAAATCCAGTAGCTGTTATCGCTCTTTCTCGTATTGATGGAGTTTTCCTTCCTAACCTTTTCTTTCAAGTGGTGTGGGATGTTAACATCTATGGCATTATTTTCTCTTTGAGTTTTGGTACATTAGGCGGCGTATATTAAATGAGAACTTAATTACCACTTTCTGTAGAAATCGTGATGTCTCACCTCGAATTTGTGATAGAATTGACTTCACTCGTGTTGCTAAACAACATACTGGGTTTTCCGCTTCTAGGAGTGTTTTCAGGAGTACAACGATCCAAAACTCCAATTTTGCTTTGTGTGTGGACGCTTCCATTTGTTAAAATTTGTCTGATGTTTTTATTTCGTTTGAAGGAATTGTGTCGCATCTAAGCTTAGAAAATAATCACAATAATAATCAGAAGATGGACAGAAAGAAAAAGGTGTTTGAGTAGGCCATGTATTTTACGTCTGCTTCAGTGAAATGCAAAAACCTTGTCAATTGAATCTTTTCATTTGTATCCGCTTACTTCTTTATACAATGACCCGCATTCATGCTTAGGATTGTTATTGCAGCATTTAGTTAAAACCCGTGAAGCTCAAATATTTAACGATGCGATAGGGGAATTTCTACGGATGGTTTTATTGTTGTAGTGTATTCGATCCTAACCTGGTGACCATACTTTCGGCCTTGTGCCACATCTAAGCTAAGCTTAGAAAATCACTATTAACTTAAGGATTATGATGTACTAGCAGTAGAGCCCGGCATTGCCCGGGGATGTAACAGTAAGAGAGATCAAGTATCGACCATCATAAAGACTGAAAAATGAAATTGACAAAGATTGTTTAAGGTTGACGGACACGCATGTCTTAATTAGTTTTTTTATGTTTGTTTGTTTTTTTTACGAATTGGTCAAACACAAACTCAAACAAAAGCATTGTTTTCAATCGTTATGAGTCTATCGATTGAATAGAATTTTATTATAAACAATTGTCTTGTAAATGGAATTTATAAAGCATTCTGAATGTAAAAATAAAGAAAAAAAAGTGTGCAAGACAATAAAAACACTACTGCCAAAAAAAAAAGTGAAGTTTTGTTGAAATCGGTTGAAAAATGTAGGAAATCCGATCCCATATATAAACGAACACAGACACACACTCACAAACAACCTGGGTTTTATAATAAGTAAAACTCGATATGAGTTGTCCCCGTTTCATTCTCGATAGCGATGCCTCTTAATCGTGTTTTCAAATTGATTTCGTGCAAAAACAATTGTGTTTTTCTAATTTTTGGCGCTGTCAGAACCACCGCAAGATAATTTTACGTAGTCATATGAAGTTTTGTTGAAATCGGTTGAAAAATGTAGGAAATCCGATCCAATATATAAACGAACAGACACACACACATAACCTGGGTTTTATAATAAGTATGATTACAAAATTAAGATAGAAAAGATGTATAATTTTCGCAGAAACTACTAGTAATTTTATTTCCACTTGGTGCATCAGTTATAATCAACCTGCAACAGTGCTACGTCGATACAGTGTGTTGAAGAAACCAGACGTTTAGTTCATATATATATATATATATATATATATATATATATATATATATATATTGTTTCTTCTCTCTCTTGCTTTCCTGTCTTCCGACCCTCAAAATTTCAGTCGTTGTCTTAAATCCTGTTTTTTCATGTCCTGTTTCCTTCATTCTCAATTGTATTCTAGCGGTTTTTATCGCCTTGCTCGAGGTGAAACGAATAAAAAATATATATTTATATATTAATCGCAAACCGGATTTCGTCAAGGCGTTTTATTTTAAGGTTTATTATGGTTTGTTTTACGGCATATCAATCTCAATAGGCTATTTAATGCCGACAAGATTTTTTTATCCGTCCTGAGTATGACGATAAACTATATCCGCGTCCTGGGTCAGACGATAAATTACATCTAACAGCAAGGCCTCTGATCAGGAGGCTTCGAGGGGGGTGGAACCACCTATTAGTTGCTGTTATTCCTGCGTCAACCATGACCCGGGGTGGTAGCGCCTGTTAGGGTCCCATCTATGGGCAGATGGGCACTATGAAAGTGTAAAAATACCAGTAATATGTTTTTGTTAAAAAAATTATCAGCAATTAATTTTTGAAGAAAAAATTATTACATATTACATTACCAGCAATAGTTTTTTTTACGTTACCAGCAATACATTTTTGAAAAAAAAATTACCAGCAATAAAAATCTTTTTTAGCATTAAATAACTCATTGAGGTTGATATGCCGTAAAACAAAACGAATCAAACTAAACCAAGATTTTTATTGCTGCTAATATTTTTTTTCAAAATGTATTGCTGGTAAAAAAATTTTGAAAAAAAGTATTGCTATACCTATTTCTATAGTAACATATTGTTTTGACCCCTTTTGGGGGTTAACTATTTGCCCATTGCTGGGACCCTGACAAGTGCTACCACCTCGGGTCAGGGTGGACCTGGGAGCACAACCAACTAAAAGGTGATTCCACGTTCCTCAAAGCCTTATAAAAGGCCTTGTTGTCGGATGTAGTTTATCGTCTTGCCCAGGACGCGGATATAGTTTATCGCCATACCCAGGACAGTTGGTTTTAAGTGATTTAAGATTACTTACCCAGACTCAATCGTAAATATTATTATTTGATTGTTCATCGGTGTTAATTGAAGTTGTTAAGCATTTTAACAAAGAAAAGAGTACTGAGCTGGTATGTGACATCTGTCCTCCTTTACGACAACGCATTTTGGACGGTGTCCTCAAAGAAAAGAACAGACTCGCGGCAACTGAGATATGGCTCTACAGACGGATGATGAGGATATCATGGACCGAGCGTGTGAGCAACGATGATGTTTTGGAGAGGATACAAAGAGGAAGCTCTTATACTTAACATCAAGAAGAGGCAGCTGACATTTCTGGGAGACGTAATCAGAAAAGAGGGCTTGGAGAATATGATACTCACAGGTCGAATAGAAGGAAAGAGAGGCAAGGGAAAGCAACGCATGACATATCTAGCGGGCTTAAGCAAGTGGATGACAGAACATGGCATGGGGAAACTAACAAAGGGACAAAACCTATTGACAGCTACAAGGGATAGGAGGAAGTGGAGGGCCATGATCGCCTACATCCTGCATGGACAAGAAACAATTATTCCCAGATATGGTAGCAATACTCTATTTTTGGTCTGATCAGGCTCTGGTAAAGCTAAGATAGAGAGTAGTAGAAGGGGTTAGATGCTTTCTAGAGCAGTAGGAGGAACTGATTGTTTTTCCGGGATCTTTAGTGATGGATCGCATAAAGGAATTCCTTTTGAACTTTGGAATAAGCTTAAGTCGCAATAGATTTACAAGCCACTAAGTCTCAATGCAAGTACATGTGTTCATCATGAATGGAAAAAAAAACTCAAGGTTTCCTTTGTGATGAGTAAAGATTACTGAATTGGTTTTGGAGGTACTAAATGTTACAAGCCAGTTTCTATCCAGGTACAAGGATTAGCTTAAAAGCTAACAGGCTGACTAAGAATGCTAGAGCTGTGAAATCTTTCATGCGTTAATTTCAAGTCTTCTTAATAACTGTATTCTTTTTGTTCCTCTAGGAGGGTGGGCTGAAAAGCTAACAGGCTGATTAAGAATGACTGCAGCTAGAGCTGTGAAGTCTTTCATGCGTTAATTTCAAGTCTTCTTAATAACTGTATTCTTTTTGTTCCTCTAGGAGGGTGGGCTGAAAAGCTAACAGGCTGATTAAGAATGACTGCAGCTAGAGCTGTGAAGTCTTTCATGCGTTAATTTCAAGTTTTTAATAACTGTATTCTTTTTTTTTCCTCTAGGAGGGTGGGCTGAAAAGCTAACAGGCTGATTAAGAATGACTGCAGCTAGAGCTGTGTGAAGTCTTTCATGCGTTAATTTCAAGTCTTCTTAATAACTGTATTCTTTTTGTTCCTCTAGGAGGGTGGGCTGAAAAGCTAACAGGCTGATTAAGAATGACTGCAGCTAGAACTGTGAAGTCTTTCATGCGTTAATTTCAAGTCTTCTTAATAACTGTATTCTTTTTTTTCCTCTAGGAGGGGGCTGAAAAAGCTAACAGGCTGATTAAGAATGACTGCAGCTAGAGCTGTGAAGTCTTTCATGCGTTAATTTCAAGTCTTCTTAATAACTGTATTCTTTTTGTCCCTCTAGGAGAGTGGGCTGAAAAGCTAACAGGCTGACTAAGAAAGACCGATGCTAGAGCTGTGAAGTCTTTCATGCGTTAATTTCAATTCTAATTCTTAATAAATGTATTGTTTATTTCACAGCTCTAGCATCACTCCTTCATAGTCAGCCTATGAACCTTTCAGCCCATCTCCTATATTTACGAATGATGTGAGAGCGTCTCTAGGCAGATCATTAATATTTACGTTTCCCGTCAAAAATTCTATGAACTTTTGTTTCGACCCAATATAATAAGGTGTGATTGAAGATTTACCAAGAGTTATAAAGGATTATATAAAAAGTATAAAAGCCTTTAAACGTACCTGTATGTCGGGATTATCTTCCACCAGCTGTCGAGCAATATCTTTGCATAAGGCTGGCGTATTTTTCGGAATATCAGCGTCGCTTTCCCATTCTCTTTTTGGTGAGTGAGCGTATGTTCCAGCGGGTGTCGCGTGAGTCACCCTTGTAGTGGTGACCACACCCACCGATTTGCCTGGATACAGAGAACAAAAAATATATTTAAACAATCTATGAGAGATAATTCGGTTACACAACATTCCAGGAAATCAATATATTTTGAATTCTAATTCATATTGAAAATCGACAAATAAAAATATTTTAATCCCATCATAAACATAGTAAAATGAAAACTGGTATAATCAGTTTTTTTTTTTTTTTATCTCAGTGCTTTTAGAATATATAGCCCCCACCATCTAAACCAGGGGTCGTCAAACTTTTTTTTTTTTTTTTTAAATAAAGTGCCCCTTTTTATTTTCCTTCCCCCAGCGACGCCCATTTAAAATATCTTTGAACCTTAAAACTTGCACTGATGTAGACAATTAAAATGTTAACTAAAACGGATGAAAAGTTAAGAAATTTGGATCAGGTTCAAAATAAGCGGAATCAGGTTCAGAATTTTACCCCGAAAATATATTTACGAATATCGGAAAATGAGGTTGAAACGTCGACTGCTTGGGATCAAGAACGTTTACGGGATGTTCAGCGAGTCCGATACGAAGGTTGACAAAATTCAAAGGAAAGAAACAGACGACAACGCTAGTTCATAGAAATCAGAAAGAGAAACTTTATTTTACAATAAAAATCACGAAAGAGAATAATAAAATGAAAATTTTGTACTTATTTTGTACTTATAATGGTCTTTGAGGTGCTATGAGAATTTTCCCAGCCATTTAACACGTAATATTTAAACGTATTGGGATGGCCAAGGACACATTCCAAACGCTGGGCAGAGTATTGCGTGACAGGAGGATTTCTTTGGTAACAAAGAAAAGAATACTGAGCGGTTACGTGACATCTGTCCTTTACGACAGCGAATGTTGGACGATTTTCACCAAAGAGACTCGAGGCGAAGAGATGTGGTTCTACAGAAGGATGCTAAGGATATCATGGACCGAGCGTGTGAGCAACAATGAGGCCTTAGAGAGGTTGAAAACAAGGAGGAGGCTTATACTTAACATCAGGAAGGAGCTGCTGAAGTTTCTAGGACACATAATGAGGAAGGAGGGCCGGGAGAATCTGATACTCACGGGTCGAATAGAGGGAAAGAGAGACAAGGGTAAACAACATGTGACATACCTAGCGGACTTAAGTAAGTGGATGACAGAACGTGGTCTAGGACAGGAAGCAGAGGGAAGGAACTTGTTGAGAGTTGCAAGGGATAGAAGGAGGTGGAGAGCCATGATCGCCTACGTCCTAAACAAGGAGGAGGCTTATACTTAACATCAGGAAGAGGTTGCTGAAGTTTCTGGGACACATAATGAGGAAGGAGGGCCTGGAGAATCTGATACTCACGGGTCGAATGGAGAGAAAGAGAGACAAGGGAAAAAAGCGTGACATATCTGGCGGGCTTAAGCAAGTGGGGCCTGGGGCGGTGACAGAGAGGAGGGACTTGTTGAGAGATGCAGGAATAGAGGGATTTGGAGAACCATGATCGCCTACGTCCTGAAAGAACATGGCACATCTAAAGAAATAATCTTTGTATTCACATTACAATTATATTTACAAACAGCAGAAACGAAAAATTCATATGATTAACTGTTATAATTTTAATTAATAACAGTTTCAAACGACATCTGGGGGTGGGGGTCTTAAAAAAAGAGTTATAAATTTGGTTTCACTCTTTAAAACTTTCGGCACACTATATCGGGGATAAGAAAAGATCTACATGAAGATCTTAATTACGACAGCTAGTCAAAAATGATTCACACTTTCGTCATCACATATCTTTAGGTTTGTCACACTGCCTCCTGCTCATGCGTGCTTATAGTTGGTACTATTGTGGTCACGGGATCGAAGTTTGAACGCGCCAGTTTTATTGCTGCTGTTACAGTGTGTGAATGACCGCTCCGCTAGCAGTGTTGCCATCTTGGTACCAAAGAGAAAACTTCATCAGAACAATTTCTATGAAAATATTTACAGAAAAGACGCACGGAAGTTACGCCGGTGAAAAAGGGACTGATGCTGAGATGCAAGGTCAGAACCAATAAAATTACGGATTCTTCTTCGGATCTTATTTAGAATCTCTAAATACATAGCAGAAACACCAGACCTGATGTGGCAGCAAGATTCTATGCATGGACGATTAGTAGACTTATGAATGCGTAAGAGAGATTCTGGTGAGAGCAATTGTCTAACACGACACAGTGAACTGACCTACCTACTAGCAAACTTAGCATTTGATTCAATGTAATCTTTCCACTTCATGTCAACGGAAAACTTTAGCTTAAGGCGCAATAGGTCATTCTCCTGGAGGCTAGCATCATCCATAGTGATGAAAGCAAAAATATTCTCTTTTGTGTGTGTGTGTGTGTGTGTGTGTGTGTGTGTGTGTGTGTGTGTGTGTGTGTGTGTATATAATTATATTGAAGTTTTCGGCTCTTGTTTTGAAGCATGAGAACTCTTATGTAGCGTGTTGGAATCATATTTTTAAATAATTATATTTATGCTCTACTTTTGTATCGAGCACTATTTTTTAAAAATAATAACAAAAATACTAAAGAACTTTGGATTATTTACCTAACGAGTTCTTTCCTATTTTCTATATATTTTTCACGCACACACACACACATATATATTATATATATATGATAAGACGGAGACCTTAATTATCCATTCCGATTGTAATTTATTTCGTAAACATCGAGGTGTTGAACTCTTCAGATCAAAATCTAATATTAAATCGATTTCGCCACAAGCAAGGAAGTAAAGTCACTGAGACACTAGTGGTTACTGGGTGCGGAAGAGTTTGAAACATTAACATTGCTAAGGAGGAAGAACAAAAGAATAGTACTCCGGAAAACAGCAGATAGCAATTGAGATTGCATTTAAATTTTTTAAGATTAAATTTGGCTGGAAAGTATGAAGCCGGCAGAGAGTTCCACAAGCGAGAAGTACGAGAAAAGAAACAGTTAGCATAGAACTTACGATTTCTTGCGGCCAACACAGCTGTAAACTGCGTTTAAATTCAAAGAGTCTAGGCACCATAACGGAGAGAGATATTTATTCAGCAATGTGGCACAAGGCTAAATGGGGAATGGGGAAAAGGATGGTCGTCTTCTGTCTTAAATTTAATCTTAGCTAGCCACAAACACTGACCCAAACATTCCACAATATTCCTCGCGCCCAAACAACACATTCTTACTTACCTTTCTTACTACATCCACCATAATACCTCATTGTCTTAGATACTTCTATGGTAATTGTTCGGGTGTGTTCTTTGCTATTTCTTTTTTAATTTTTTGAAAAAGAGTTTTTATATTGTAAATACTCCTTGGGGTTTAGATTTTAAATAATTGTTTTATTCCCCTCCCCTCACAGACAAGAATTGTACATATGGTGACTAGTTAGGATTTTATTTTATTTAGTTTTTTTTTTTTTTGTAAATAGTTTTCATAATATAAATACACATTGGGATTAGATTTTAAATAAAATAAAAACAACAATTTAAAATAATAAAACAACAGAGAAGGTTTATGTCAATAAAAGTTAGACTCTCCAACAGGTGAAGATACGATTTAGTTTGTTTAATGGCATATCAACTCCTTATGGGTCATTTAATGCCAAAATTTAAATTTCATGGGAGCTTTGGTAATTTTTTTAATTAGAATCTGTTACTGTTTTACTATTTTTACACTTTCATAGTGTTTTGACCTCAGTTTTTGGGGGTTCACTATAGCTGGGATGCTAACAGGTGCTATCACCCTCTCTCTGGGTGAACCTGAGAACGGTATCAATTAAGAGGTCGTCCCACGCTCCTTAAAACCTCTCGATCAGATGCCTTGCTGCCGGTTATAGCTTATCCTCATACCCAGAACGAAACAGCTGAAGGACAACATTCAGACAGAGCACTAGACCCTGAAACACTGAGTGCTGCGATAGAAAGGCTTTTTATTTTCTATATCAGGTCTATATTATACTATGGTATCGTGAAATAGATATAAAAAAATAAAGAAGTTATTAAATTTTTAAATCCCTTGGTGAATTTGAGGCCAGCCTGTATGTATCTCTTCGAGATTATTTTCCTTATCACGCGTGCACATATGAGGGTCATAGGTTTTCACCTCGAGGGTCACCACTGGCGGTGGGTGAATCGCCGATCTCCGCCATCGCCGATCTCCACTGAGGCTTATCTCAGGTCAAAACGGCACCTGGCTTTTCTTTGATGGTCTCGTATGAAATTTGAGTTCAAAGCTTATTTTGGTATCATGCTGTTGCTTGTTCGGCGGCTAGGAAAGTTAGTTCACTGTGTCGTAATAGAATATTTTTCTCACCAGAATCTATCTTATACACTAATCTTCGGTAAAGTGACTCATTGCGCCTTCTCGCTGACATGAAGTGGAAAGATTATATTGAATCAATTGCTAGGTCTGATGCTAGGAAAGTTGGTTCACTGTGTTGCGCTAGACAATCTTTCCCGCCAGAATCTATATTACTCATAAGTCTATCATTCGTCCTTTCTTCGAATATTGCTGTCACATGTGGTCAGGTGCTCTTGCTATATATTCAGAGATCCTTGATAAAATCCAAATAATCTGCATTGTTATTGGTCCTGACCCAGCATCTCGGCATCAGTCACTTTCCCACCGCTGTAATGTAGTTTCCCCGTTCATATTCTATAAATACTTTCATGGTAATTGTTCTCATGAGCTTCCCCCTATAGTACCTAGACTTTATGCATTAAGCGCAGTACTAGATTGGCGGAAAGGTCTCATCATTTTACACTTGAAATAGCTAGATGTAGCCGTAAGTTCTCTGATAACAGTTTCTTCTCTCACACTTTTCACTTGTGGAACTCTTTAGGTCTCCGTGTATATTTAAGTAACTCACCCGCAATATCCAAATTACAGACAAACAATATTATTATTAATTCACATGTCCTTTAAGGAACAGTGTTCCTGATTAATCCACATTATGAATAATTATATTGGATATGCTACAACACGTTTAAAAAAGAAGACTCACTTTACGTCTCTCTGACTATAGCTCAATTAGGTCTCATTTAAATAAACAATATAATAGCCTACAATAATAATAATAATAATATAATAATAATACACATGTAAAAATGCTAAAAATAATTGAAGAATTATTAATGCAAAAAGAAAAAGCCAATACTTAAGAGTATTAACTACGGACATGGCCACAATGTGATGACCGTGTTTGGAAAATAAAACATTCCTGTAGCACTAGATAAATTGATTTTTTTAATAGTTACCGATGTACACACTAGTCGCATTAATCAAGGGATTCATATATATGTTTTTGATCGTTAATTATTTACAATTAAAATTTGTTTTAATCGCGTTCCAGTTTTTCCTCCTCATTCAATATTTTTTGTGAATTGTGCCTTGAGTTAGCTTAAATGTGCCAACATTCATCTTTTGAAAAAGTGTTGGGTGAAATGGAATCCTTAAAGGTGCATAGAAATGACGTTATCTTTGTTTAAATCTGTGTTCGTCTTCTTAGGGTTCAAGTCCTTGTGTATATATATATATATATATATATATATATATATATATATATATATATACATACACAGTACATTTGATAAATCTTTCGGTATATAATCCAAGTGGATCCTAATATAAAATATTGAAACTGTTTCACAAAAAGAGCTCAATATATTTATTATAACAGCGCATATAAATAGTATTACACGACAAAATTCAAAATTACCTCACATGGGGTGGGGATAGATCTATTTCAACCGATGAAACTACGTCAGTGTTATTCAACCCCGGTGTATAGACTGAGTTCGTGTTGAAATAAGAGATTTTACTTTGACAACCGTCGAAAAGTTCATCCAGAATTTAACCATTTCGACTGCTGTCAAAGTTAAATTTTTAATTCCAACACGAATTCAGTCTATACACCGGGGTTGAATAACACTGGTGTAGTTGTCGTCAATTGAAATAGATATATCCCCCAATATGAGGTAATTTTGGATTTTACGGTGCAATACGAAATATTAATTCTTCTAGATTATAAAATAAAAATAAAAGGAGAAATAACTCCAATTTATAAAGAGAACATATTTATGGAAATGAAAGACTATTTTTATGAACTGTTAATTTGAGCACCAACAGCAGATTTATTAAGAACAGCTTTCAATCAGTTCTTCAAACAGAAGAAAGATTCTCTTGATCTTTTAAGACTTAAACGATGAACAACATCCGTTAATGTTTCCCTTGAAATCAGCAAATATCGTCCATTGATTTAAACTCTACGCCCAGCCCCGCCCCCGCCCACAACGATACAGGCATCATTTATTTATATTTCGTATCTATATGAGCAAATGGCAACTCCAAGATGCTCCTAGGATTCACGAGGTTATGGTTATTTTCTGGGTAATTTACCGACAAATAAACTGGAAAGAACACCCCTACACCCCCACCAAAAAAAAAAAAAAAGGTTGCTATGTCTGCGGGCAGATTTCTCAAAGAAATACAGGTTATTTAAAGCCAGAAAATATTTTAAGATTGTAAGAATTTTTTTTGTGGAATTAATGAATTCCTGATACAATTTTTACTAATTAACCCATAGCTTGTGAAGAAAAGATGGATTCATACCTTTCCCAAAACTCATTTGTACGTAATCGAATAGAACGAACCCGACTGACCTTTCTGTCGAATACTACCCGTCACTTCATTAGTTACATGGTCAACTCGTTGTCTTTCTCGTATCCAAGAATTTAATTTCTTCTTTGCTAAGCCCTTTTTACAATGATGGCGTTGATGATTAAGCAGACGAATTCTTGCATGGTAATTTTGGTGGAGGACGAAGTCAAACTCGACTTCCAATTCCGAGCCATTAACCATTGCACCCATCTAAGTACTAACCAAGCTCTACGTTGCTTAACTTCGATGATCGTACGAAAACTAGTATTATAGACGTAAGCCCGCTTTCAGTAAATGGACACGTACTGAACTAGTGATATCGAATATATAAAGCTCAGGAATTGGGTGTATGTCTGCTTGGAACCCTGAAAATTTACCCTTAAACTGTCCAGCCTCTGGGGATTGAACTCACAATAAATATGCCGCACGGAATAATAGCCTACTTGTTTTCTGAGCGTTTTTTTTTTTTTGTGTTCGGCGAGATAGTAATCTACAGAGACTGTTTCGCTGCATCACAGGTCTTCAGTGTGGCTAGATGTCCGATTGCTTCAAGCCGGGATCGAAACTCACTGATTTGGCATCAATCAGAGATCCTACCCCTCAGCAGTAGCGGCTCGGATTGAGGAATCGGAGAGCCGAGTTCGAATTCCAGTCGAATCCATTACATTCACTTTACGTGCTAATACTTATTAGGAAAGGTATGAATCCTCTTCTTCTCTCCCACGACCCCAGCTGTGAGTAAATAGCAGGACAGACCGAGTTCTATAGCCTTGGATGGCAACTGGTCTACAGCAGAAAGAAATGGCAACCTACCGCGGGAAAAAAAACTGCCTCATCAGTTATATATAAAAAAATACATGATCGCCTAAGCGTGTATCCCGCATGACACACAACTGACTGACTGAGGTAGTAATAGTTTAAATCCCTGGGCCGGACAGTGCGTGATTGGACTCAGTTGGAACGGGTGCGCAATAACTGAGCAGTACTAAAAGCAAGAACTGGATGAGATATCCGGGCAGTGGAACGAGAACAGTCTACAGCAGTGAATTAAATAAAGCAGACTGTTCGAAATTCCCTGTAGGTTACCAGGATCGGTGTATACCTGATGAAGGTCTGAGGGCACAGCGTTCGAAACGTTGTGATAACAAGGACAAAATTGAGGACAGTAGTTCGCACTTAAGTAGTATATCATTGTATATAAGAAGTAAAACTCACCCTTTTTCTGTGACCATACCAGAATTGACGATATTTTGCCCTGAGTAATTTTATCATTGCAAACTCCGTATGATACCCGAGCGTCAAGGCCGATAACTCCTTTGTTAATTTTGACTCCACTTAAATAAGCCGTGGCTGTAGCTGCCGAATCAGGTGTGATTCTGTCTTCGCAATAAGTCTGTTTAATAAAAAAAGACATTTAACTTGAAACTGATGAAAGTCAGATTGGGTTGCAAGATTAATAAACACGAGCATCTGTCCAAACAACAATATATGCTTGATAACATTGTGAGACGAAACGTTTACATCATTAAATAAATTATTTCGATGAGTACCTTTTCATTTGTTTCATTGAGATCTGCGTTTCGGCTGGCCTATTTCCCGTCCTTCATCAGATATTTTCTTATATTTGCTAATGTAGGCTTCGTCCACTATATATATCCTATCTCGCCACCAATACAAAACCAGTTCCACTTTCTCTCTCCACCTCACTCTTACCCCCCTCTCTCTTGCATCCTCTCTCTCCACCTCACTCTTACCCACCTCCCTCTCTCTCCACCTCACTCTTACCCACCTCCCTCACCTCTCTTCCCTCCCCTCTCTTCCCTTACCCACCTCCCTCTCTCTTCCTCCTCTTACCCACCTCCCTCTCTTCCTCCCACCCTTACCCACCTCCCTCTCTCTTCACTTCTCTCTCACCACCTCTCTCTTCACTTCTCTCTCACCACCTCTCTCTTCACTTCTCTCTCACCACCTCTCTCTTCACTTCTCTCTCACCACCTCTCTCTTCACTTCTCTCTCACCACCTCTCTCTTCACTTCTCTCTTCACCACCTCTCTCACCACCTCTCTCTTCACTTCTCTCTCACCACCTCTCTCTTCACTTCTCTCTCTCCACCTCACTCTTACCCCCTCTCTCCAGCTCTTTCTTACCTCCTCTCTCTTCACCTCTCTCGCCTACTCGACTCTTTCTCTCACTCTTTCCACCTCTCTGATTGCGTGCGTGCCTATTTACATTAAAAAAAAAACAAAAAAAAATAATATTTAAAAATATTTTTTGCAATATTTAAAAAATAATTTCACGTGAATAGGATTTTAAAATATTTTTTGGCGTATTAAAATTTATTTTTTAAGTTTATCTGATTTAAAAAAATATTTAAGTGAATAAGATTTTGAAATACGAGTTGTTTATACACTAAGAATTTTTATTTCAACTTTATTCAAACACAATTTTTTTAATGTTGAAATCAACTTCAGTGTTTTCTAACTTGCACCGTCAGTGACCCAACGGTCACGAGTAGTCTAGTATATATATATATATATATATATATATATATATATATATATATATATGTGTGTGTGTGTGAAGACATTATGAATAAATTTTCCTTTCGTCTTTATGAATAAAGACGAAAAAGAAAAATATATATATATATATATATATATATATATATATATATATATATATAACAACACTCAAAAACATAACAGGTAGAACTGTTAAACCTATTAATAATAATAAACAAGTTAAGCTCATCAAATATTATAAAAAATTTAAAACAATTGAGCTCAGTCTCTAATAACCCTACAACCCACACAACTAAATACTTTGCAAAAACCAAATGTAGTGTATTAAGTTACATACCCGTTCAGAGATTGTATCTCTGATACTAATAACACGCATACTACATATATTGGTCTTACTACAACCACACTCTCCCGTAGACTTACCCGTCACCTTTCTGATCTTAGCTCTATTAAACAACATTTCTTAGAAAAACATAACCATGTACATAATATTAAAGAGATATTAGTTGATAACACAATAATACTCACACATACACACACAGTAAAAAGAATGCATTTTGTCTAATCCTTTCTTCTCGCTTTCCTTCTTTTACAGGAGTTCTTGTAGTTTTCTTTCTATGTCTGCTATCAAAACTGTCATCTGCATATCTTATGTGGTCAAGATTGTGGCCGCCAATAATGAATCCTGGTAGGACTTCTAATTCTCTCAGAATCGACTCATTAATATTTTGCCGTCTCTGTCTTCTGCTAACAGTCAACCCGTTACATGGACAAACCGTTGTTGTCAGCTTTATCTCGTATCCAAGAATTTAATTTCCTCTTTGCTTTCTATAAGATGATGGCGTCGATGTCTGTTATATTATAATAAAATGCCGCTGACGACACTTTTTGTTTGAACGCCAGGGAACAAACATGCGATCTCATTAAACTAGTTAGATCACGTGACCATAGAGAACACGTATATATAGAGGAAGCCGCGTGACGTCTAGTTGTGTTTGCTATTCTAGTCTCCTCCATTACTGTGTATTCGCTATTTCTCCTCTATCCCCTATACTATTCAGATTGCTTGTCTGTTCTCACTATACGAAGTACTATTACTATGGGTATTATTTAAAATCGTCTGATACGAGCATTAGTCTTTGGCGTATTATAATTGGTATCTGCGATTACAAAGTTTCTACTAGGTAGGCATCAAGTAAGCATACGTTGTCATCACAACAGTGACAACAAAGAACCGTTTTGACGACATAACAATATCTTGGACCAATTCTTGTATGGAAGAGCCGATGGAATTGACTGTATGGTAATGTTGGCGGAGGACGAATTCGATTTTGTCAATCCTTTCTCTCTTGTCGTTTGACTTCTTCCCTTTCTGTTCTGGTCGTTTCGAAGTTTTTACTTTCAATGGAACACCAGTTGGAACGATTTCGTGTTTTTTGCTTCAAACGATTTAAGCCAGTCCAATAGTTTAGAATTGCTTTGACTTGTTCCTTGTATCTCCGGATTGAGCAACCGCATGATTTTTTTTTCCATGAAGTTATCTCGCTGAATAAGAGTTGACGTGGAAATCTTTCCATTCTTGCTAACAGACAATAAACTGAAGGAGAGGTACTGCCCGAGGAATGTCATTCACCCCGGGTTTGAGCTTTATATCAATTTCAGATTTTCTTGATAGAAACGAATTTAAAAAAATAAAATAATTGTATATTAATTTACAGTTAAGTAGTTTTGGCGACTATGTCAAGTAGAAGTCAAAGTGGCAAGTGAAATATTTGCTTGTTTTTAGATTTGTTCTTTGCATATTTCAACTTGGATAAATCCTTACTATAATATTTTCAAACAATGTCCCATACTTAAGAAAAGTTTTTTGCCTGTTTTGTCATTACATTTTCACTGTTGTAGGCATGAGTGTGGAATTTGAGATTTTTCTGGGAATATCGAACAAAAGGTTTTATTTTATGCAAAATCAGGTCTCAAAAATTTACACTTCAATTCTCTAATTGATGAAAGTCAGCCCATTTCAAATCAATACCTCTGAATAAAAGTAATATTCATAGATAAATATACAATTTGTTTCTACAGTTTATATTCTACGGACGCGATTTGTGAGTCAAATGTTATATTGCAAAGAAGAATGGTCGGCTTTATCCCGTACCCAAGGATTTAATTTCTTCTTTTCTGATCGCTTCCTTCATGATGATGAAGGTTTTGCTGTGCTGTCTTCCAGTTTTGGCAGAGAGGAACCTGGACGAGGCTGGGACGAAGGGTAGAGTTTCGTCCGGGAGGTAGACAGATCCTCGCCCGTTTATGCGGGTTCTACAGGGATTTTTTGGCCGAGCCTACAGGCTCGGATGACCTACGGCCATGTGCCACATATATCCCTCGAGGTGGGTGGCTGTTAAATATTAACAGTGATATATACTGTTCTACCGAGACTGTGACTGTTCACAGCTCCTGTCGAACTCTCTGCCAAGGAACCCGGACGAGGCTGTGCCGAAGGGCAGAGTTTCGTCCGTCTTGCAGACAGACCCGAATCCGTTTGTGCGGGTTCTACGGTGATTTTTTGGCCGAGCCTACGGGATCGTATGAGCCACGTTAAAATTGGCCTTGTGCCACATGTGCCCACGTGGGGCACTGAATATAACAGTGATATAGAGTGTTCACAGCTCCTGTTGTACTCTCTGCCTTTGGTAGAGAGGAACCCGGACGAGGCTGTGCCGAAGGGCAGAGTTTCGTCCAGGGAGGTAGACAGACCCGAACCCTTTTATGCGTGTTCTACATGGATTTGGGGCCGAGCCTACGGGCTCGGATGACCCACGTTAAACTCGGTCTTGTGCCACATATATGCCTCTTGGGTGGGCTGTTAAATATTAACAGTAATAGACTGAACACTGGTCAACCTAGTCGTGTAACACACTTCTGTTGTATTTATTATTCAATACATTATTTATCTGCAACCTCTTGTTTTGTTGAGCATGGAAGATCCTATGGCATTGACCACAGACTAATATTGTCCACCAACATTATTATGTAGTCAATGTCATCTGACGAGGTCAATTTTGTCGAGCCTTTCTCTCATGTCGTTTTTCTTCCGGTGACATCGAGGTTTTTGGTTCCGATAGTGAATGAACACCGCTTTTTGGTACTTTCTCGATTTAGGCTCAAATCCAGTGGTTTTCCGTGTTGTTTTGAGTTGCTCTCTCTGTCTTCCAAGACAGCGAACCCGATGGTCTATTCCCCTGAAGAGAGCACGCTAAATAAGACTTGTTGTGGAAACCTTGACTCTTCCATCCTTGCTATATGTCCTGACCATCGAAGACGGTGTTTCATGACCAGCGATTCGATGTTGGCTCATTCCAGGTCTTCAGTGTTGGTCACATAGTGATTGCGTTTGATATTCTTTTGCTGGTGAAAGCGTTCTAATTTTTAGATATAGAGTCCAGGTTTTGCAGCCATATAGCAAAGCTGAAATGACAACAGCATTATAGACCATAATTTTTGTTGTTAAGTCCATATCCTTGTTTTTGGAGACGCGTTAAGATCAGCGTTCCAAATGTCGCGTGTATAGCTTCAATTCTGCGTTCCACATGATGTGGAATACAGAATAGCGGCTGCACCATTTTTATTATTAGAATTTCTTCTGTTGAAATCCTCGCGGTATTTAGTAATGGTTTTTGCCGAGATTTACAAACTACCTTTCGTTCAATTTTGCAAACCAACCAATGAAATTTGAATAAGCTGATTTGTTTGGAAAAATGTTTTGGCAAAAACCCTACTTGACGGTTTAATAATTTCATTAATTTAATTTTATAGGACTTCATGGTAAGCAATATTTTTAAGAAAATTTCTTTTTCACATCAAAGAATAAATTCTTAGTAGTTCTTACTCTTGA